TCACTGATCTAATTTACAGTGAACAGGACTCTTCTAGGTCAGTAGTTCTGCTTTACCACTGACCCGCTTTACCTGCTCTAAAACACCTGCTTCACCCCTCAATATAGGGTTCTTCATTAGCCGTTGAGTTAGATCAGGTGTGTTGGAGCAGTGATAACACTAAAGTGTGCTGGACGGGGTTTAGGGCAGCGTAGATTTCTGACCAACACAGTAACTATAATTTAAATAGTGAGTATTTTCTATAAATTAAAATTGTTTGTTTTAGCCAAGAAAACCAGAATCTGCACTTCCTCTGCCTTAAGTTTCAGATTGACAGTTAACTGTCATATGTTATACCGTGATGTTCACAGTTGAGGAGTGCTCAGCCGGTTCCTGGAGTTCTACAGTCTTAAAAATGGTTCCTTAAGACAGACAATAGTTCTGTATAGAACCATGAACACTCAAAGAACCCTTTGCATGATTAAATGGTTCTTTGCATGGTAAAATGTTCTTCAGATTGATGGACAACATGTTGTAGATCAGAGGTCACCCAGGCGCTGTGGACCTGGACCTGTAACCGATAAACTATGGAGAATAATTTAATTTTGATGGGGTGGTCCTATTTTAATCGGCGTAGCTTTTCTAGCCTTTACGGTAGCATTAGCGGCCCGGGAGACCGACAGACCAATCGCATGCGTTGTAAAAATCACACGTGACGCTACTCAGCCAATCAGATCTGTGCATTACGATGAGCACTAGGACTCGAGTGAGTGACGCACACACACGGGGGAGGGACGAGGCGAGAAACAGCAGTCGGAGAAGAAAGTGAGTTAGCTTATTTTACATGGCAGCTCTAAAAAGAGAAAACTGACAATAAATGTTGTTGAAATATGACTGAATTGTACTTTATTTGATTTGACATTCAGTTGTTGGCTGTATAAGATGTTGATATAACTACTACTTCAGTAAACAGTATACAGCACTGAGTCACAGACATTATGATGTTCCGGACCTTTAGTTGAGGAAATTTTCTTTGACTGGACCTTACTGAATTTTAATTAAAGACCTCTGTTGTAGATGGTTCTATATAGCATCTTCTATTGATACAAGCCTGACATTTTAACAATAGCAGAACCCTTTAAGGTGCTATATAGAACCATTCTCAAGGAGTTTCTGTACAGAACCATGTACAGCACATTCTACATCAGTCTGAAGAACCTTTCACCATGCAGAGAACCATTTAAACATGCAAAGGGCTCATTGAGTGTTCATGGTTCTATCAAGTTTTCTTTAGTAAAGACAATGGTTCTTTACAGAACCATGAACACTCAAAGAACCCTTTGCATGATTGGGGGCAGTTGTGGGCTAGAGGTTAGGGAACCAGCCTTTCGACCGGTTCAATCCCCTGAGTCAACAGTATGTGACTGAAGTGCCCTTGAGCACCTAACCCCCAACTGCTCCCCGGGCGCTGTGTATAGGGCTGCCCACCACTCCGGGCAAGTGTGCTCACTGCCCCCTAGTGTGCGTGCTCACTAGTGTGCATGTGGTGTTTCACTGCACAGATGGGTTAAAAGCGGAGGTTTAATTCCTCTGTGTGTAAATGGCTCTGAATTTAATTCAATTCAATGATTAAAGGGTTCTTTGCATGGTGAAATGGGTCTTCAGATTGATGGAGAATTTGCTGTATATGGTTCTATATGGCACCAAAAAGGGTTCTGCTACTGATACAAGCCTGATATCGTAACAATAGCAGAACCCTTTAAGGTGCTACATAAAGCCATTCTCAAAGAGTTTCTGTATAGAACTATGTACAACACATTCTCCATCAATCAGAAGAACTTTTCACCATGCACAGAACCATTTAATCATGCAAAGGGTTCTTTGAGTGTTCATGGTTCTATATAGATCCATTGTCTTTACTAAAGAACCCTTGAAGAACCTCATCTTTTCGGAGTGTACCACCCTGGAGGGTTCAGATGAACCCACCTGACTGTGAGATTCAGACGCCCCTGATGACCTTCAGCCCCTGGATGAGGTGTGGTAGATCAGAGTTGTGGTGGTGGATCATCAGGCCTGGGTGCTGTTTTGCTCAGAGCACCTGAGTGTTTGGTTGTTTCTGATTGTTCTAGCTCGGTGGTGACCAGTCCTCCTCCTCCTCCTCCTGGAGATCTACATTCCAGCAAAGTTTCAGCTTGCATTTCACATCCTGTCCCCTACACCCCCCCCCCGCCCTTCCACCGCCCTAGCGCCCTATGAGTGGGAGAATGAGTATTTCTCAGTTTCCATTTCACAGTGTGGTCCAGCTGACTTCCCTCATTTGAAGGCCTGTCTGGATACTTTTGGTTGTCTGTCCTGTGTGTCTGCTGTTGTCTCTGTCAGTAAACACAGTTGTAGCCCTGAAGGCTCTGTTTATACACACTGTAATGTGAGTTAATCAGCATTGAAAATTGCACCTGCTGAATTCCCCCAGAATTCCCCTCGGCCTGCTGTCACTGTATGAGGAAGTTTTGGATACTAGATTTGAATACTAGAATAAAGTTCTGCGGAAACATCTACATTTCACTCCTACAACACACTGACCAAGCACTTCTGTTCTGACCACAGCACCCACTGTACATCACTGAAGAAGCTCTGCTGATCCTTCCAGTGAAGTTTTGAGGGGAAAAATATCGAATTTAGAAACAGATGCGAGTTGTTTTCATCATAATGACATTTAAACTGAGGAACTTGTTTTCCTTCAGTGTAAAAAGATACAAACATGCTGAACATCCTTAAAAACCCCTAAAAGTACTGAGACGCATCCAGTTTATGACCCGTGGTGATCGAGCATCTGAGGCCCACTCATTTATGGTCTGCATGTTTCTGTGGAATCCTTTAAAAAGCAGCTAAAGATGTTAAACAGGCGTTGGGGTAATTCGTTTGCACCACGTCGGCATTTTATGTCTATCTTGTTTGTGTTTGTAATTTTTTATGTTGTGAAATGTTTCTGTAAAACACTTTTGTCTGTGAAAAAAGTGATATAAATAAAGTTTAATCACTTACTAAAGGTCTGTAAAGGTCAGTTTGTTCTTAGAGGAGAACAATATTAAAATTTAGGTGAATATATGAAGTGATTCCCAGACTAAATATCCTGGCAAAATATTAGATTAGATTAGATTAGATTAGATTCAAATTTCTTGTCATTGTGCAGAGTTACAGGTACAGAGCCAATGAAATGCAATGAAAAGCATCTAACCAGAAGTGCAAAATACAGTATTATTTACATATACAGTGCAGAAGAACGGTACATAGTGGTAAAAAAATATAGATATGCAAGTATAAATATAGTGTGTATATATATATATATATATACACCGAGTGAGTGGAGAGAGGAAGTGTGTCCTGTGAGAGCAGCATATGTAAAAGAGAAGTATGCAGAGTAAACTTGTACAGTAACTGTTGGTGCAGATATGAATAGTGCAGCAATACTAGGATATATATATATACTAGGAGTACAATACAGTGCAGTGAGTGCGGAACATAGATCTCCACTGCTGTATAAAGCTGTGTTTGGGTGCTCATTGGAAGGTTTTATATACCAGATGGTGAACCAGTAAATAAGACCCAACTCTGTTTGGGTGTTTGTTCACAGATATGTTCACACAGAGGAAGACAGCATGACAGTCCAAAACACAATCCTGCTGCGTTAAAAAGCACATTGATTTAATAGCATCACACTGGGTTTATCATTTTTCACATTCACTGCAAGTTTAGCGTTTTTCACTCATGTAAAAGGTGAAAGATTGTGTTTTATGTCACTTTGGAAACCTGAGTATCATCGAGAATCCTGAGTTTACCAGTTGTAAATACTTAACTGGCCATTCAGGCAAAATTTAAGAGGGAAATTTGGTATTTTTCCCATTTTTTGACAACCAAAGACAGCATAAGACTCTAAAAAAGTGTGAAAAATAAAAATCCAACTTTAATTGAGGTTTTTGTTGGTTGGTGAAGACCCTCATTAAGACCCTCATTCTCTTTTCTTTTGTTTATCTGTTGTTCTACTGTTCAACATCCCTGCTGAAACACCCATAGACAGCATTAAGTGTTTCTATTGGTTCCTAATGACTTTGTAAGGTGTTTTGACTCTTTTAATGGGTTTTATATCACAGTGTAAAAGGATCATAATGGTTTAACCGGAGACCAACAGCTGATTCTAAACGCATATGATAGCTTCCTATTAGGTGCTAAAGGTGTGCTGCAGGAAACAATTCAATTAATTCCCCTTAGAAGGCAAAACCATCAGGTTTTAAACCAATGCACTCTCAGAAATAAAGGTACTAAACCGTCTCTAGGTCAGTTCCCCTCTTCTCACTGGGGTGGAACCCTCAAGGGTCCATCTCAGTACCTTTAGTCAGGGAACATAACTGAACCATAATCCACTGAAATGATATGTTCTAAGCTGTACTGACTCCACACACCCCGTCTCGTCTCCAGGCTTTTATTTTACTGTTCTGTTTAAAACATTCGGTTATGAAAAGGTACAAATACGAACTTTTCACCTGGAAAAACTTATTTAAGGTTCACAATCAGACCTTAAAACCACTGTTGAACCTTTGAGGGAACATTTACACTGTTTGTACCTTGATAAACCAGAATTGTACCTGCACAGAACCTTTATTTCTAACAGTGTGGGTTCTAATGGTCCTTCTTCAGCAGAAAATATGGATCACTGCTGCACTAGTTTATTACAGCATTAGTGCGCAGTTTGTTTTTCATAATGGCTGTTTATCAGGTGAACAAGATCCCTCCTCGTGACAGCTTAATCATCTCCAAACCCCGTGGTAAATGTGATATACTGAGTTATTGTGCAACCATCGCAGATCAGCAGAGAAGCTGGGGCGGCTGCGCAGACTCGGCGCGGGGGCTGCGCCGCTTTTACGCAGCCCGGGTGACTTTTATAGCTGCTGCTGTTCTGCTGGATATTGATGACGCGCCGCCGTCATGTGACGCCTCAGCCAATCAGAGCGCCGCGCCGAGTTTAGAAAGGAGGATAAAAATGAGGTGAAGGGAAGGTTCACTCGGATTCGGCGGACTCGGAGAAACTGAGAGGGAAAGAGGGGAAAACTGGGAAAATGTGTGCCCTGAAAGCTTCACTCCTGCTGGCTGCTCTCTGCCTCTGGCTCCGGTGCTCATCTGCGGACAAACTCGGGGTAAGGTCCGAAGACAAAGTTTGGAACTTTCCGTTCCACCTTAAATGGTGCAGCAGTTACATTAGAGCGCCTCTGCTGCACCATTTAAGGTGGAACGGAAAGTTCCAAACTACAAGTTCGCGAATAGGAAAACTAATGTGTAGAATCGACACTTAAACACACTTAAATGCGCTTAAGTGTGTTTAAATACTAAAATGTGATTTAAAAGGCTCGTTTCTGTCTTGAATGCCGGTATGTTTTCATAACGCGTCTGTGCCGATTCACTAACACCGACTCTCCGATTCTAATCAAGCATCTCAAAGTGAAATCAGCCTGTTCGGATAAATGTTTTATCTTTTAATCCAGTCAGGTCTGGCTGTCAGTGTGAACCTCTGTACAGTGATTTAATCTGGGCTGTGCAGGAAGTTTGACGAAAAAGAGCTTCTTCTGTCGCAAGTTGCTGTGGGCGTGGCTATAAAACCACAGAATCCGGTCGGATCAGTGAGTCAGTGATTCACTGATTCACCGATTCATTGATTCAGTATGCAATTATAAAGCAGTTCATAATACATCACTCAGACTTGAGTGCACGATTAGTTATGGTCTGCAGTTATTAGTGCTGACATTCAGTGTTACAGACTTCAAAGGGGAATTCCACCCATTTTTCCAATAATCCAAAATTCAGTTTTTGCCTCACAGCGCCCTGCATGTATCCCTCCACCATGAATGGAGTTTAAGTTCTCTAAACTATCATAAAACAGTGTCTCAGTCATCAGGCAGTGAATTCATAACCATTTCATGTAGGAACTTTCTGTGAGGGAGCTTTTAGAGGTGGATGTCTGGTTCCCTATCACCACCACTGTGAACAGTTCTGACTCGGTAAGTTTATCTAGAACAGAGCGTTTCACACCAAACCACTCTGAACCGCTCTGTTTACATCTTAACCACTGAATTAATGGGGACATTTAGAATATTCCCTTTTGTGTAGTGAATGAGCATCTGATTCAGCAAGTATATTCAGTATAAATATCACATTGGAATTGTATCGTGGCTGAAGTATCGTGATTATATCGTATCGTGGCTGAAGTATCGTGATTATACCGTATCGTGGCTGAAGTATCGTGATTGTACCGTATCGTGGCTGAAGTATCGTGATTGTACCGTATCGTGGCTGAAATATCGTGATTATATCGTATTGTGGCTGAAGTATCGTGATTGTACCGTATCGTGGCTGAAGTATCGTGATTGTACCGTATCGTGGCTGAAATATCGTGATTATATCGTATTGTGGCTGAAGTATCGTGATTATACCGTTTTGTGGCTGAAGTATCTTGATTATATAGTATGGTGGCAGTAGTATCATGATTATATCGTATCGTGAATTATTTCGTATCGTGGCTGAAGTATCGTGATTATATAGTATCGTGGCTGATTTACTGTGATTGTCTTGAGGGACCTTGCTGTTTTGTTTTTTTTTTTTTACTTTCCCATGATGCTCTTGTGTTCCTCCAGGTGCTGGATGAGGGTTTGAGGTCTAACCTGACGAAGCCGAACGCTGCGGCGGTGAACATCAGTCTGTACTACGAGTCTCTGTGTCCCGGCTGCCGACAGTTCCTGGTGGGGGAGCTCATGCCGACGTTCTTCATGCTGAGCGACATCATGAACGTGGAGCTGGTTCCGTTCGGGAACGCGCAGGTTCGGCCGTCTCTGAGCCTTCGGTCTAAACGCTGCTTGTGTTGCTGCTGTGGTTAAACTGCTGGTGTTTGTGCTGCAGGAGAAGAAGATTGGAGACAAGTACGAGTTCATCTGTCAGCATGGAGCAGACGAGTGTCAGGGCAACATGATCGAGGTGAGAGTTCACATCACCACCTCAGTCTTCTGAAAGGGATGGTTCAGCTAATTGTAGAATTCCACCGTTCTCAGTAGCACAAATAAACCACACATTATTCTCGTTTATGTCGTCTTTGTGTTCATCTTCAGACCTGCATGCTGAATAAAATGGGAATTTATGCGTATTTGGTGATAAACTGCATGGAGATGGCCAAAGATGTGCTGAATGCAGCGAAACCGGTGAGTCTGTGAGCTTCTGAGGAGTTAATGACTGTAAAGAGCCTCTGGCCTATAACGTTCATGTACTTCATTTTTGTCAATGAGCTGTACATTTAAACATTTGTGTAGGTTATGTACCTAAAACAGTCAAAATTAGTATCTGTATGATCATTTTCCAGCCTCTTTTTATCCCTTAGAGCTTTGCTGAATGGGCGGGGGCTAAAGTGCAGTGGGCTGAATGGGCGGGGGCTAAAGTGCTGTGGGCTGAATGGGTGGGCTAAAGTGCTGGTGGTCTCCATGGTAACGGTTGCTGCTGTGTCCTCAGTGCGCCGATCTGTTCAGTGATGTTCCGTGGAAGACCATCGACTCCTGCGTGACCGGAGACGAGGGGAACAAACTGATGCATCAGAACGCTGTGAAGACCGGAGCGCTGAAGCCGCCGCACGAATACGTCCCCTGGATCACCATCAATGGAGTAAGAGCTTTATTACAGCTTTATTACTGCTTTATTACTCAGAAAACCCTGGGGGGAGGGGGTCACTCTGTTTTTTCTGAAGGGCGAGGAATGTGAAGTGACCTTTTCACAGTTTTTAAATGCTGCTATTCGATGTTCATCTCGGTCAGCCAGCTGTGATAATTACCTGTTCAGACAGACAGGTGATCTACTGCTGACTGTGGTGCTGCTAACACAGTCACTAAACTAAACTCGTTATTGTGGATGTTCTGAAGCTTCATCAGTTCCCTGATGGTTCTAGGGGTTTTCCAGTTAGGTACTGAAGTATTTTGGATGGTTACTATGGTGGTTTGTAAGCGATGCTATTCCAGGTGGTTGCCAGTGTGTTGCTCGTTGGTGCTTAGTAGGATGTTGCTAATGAACTTGTATCATCTTCATATAAGTTGGATGGACAAATTTTCATCCCATTCATTTCTATGTAGGTGGGACTAATGTAACAATGTCTGTACAACCCAGATAATGAGCATATATGGGTCTGCTGGCTTGATAAGGTCGGCACCGCCCTGACTGTTTGCCACTGCTGGTCCCCCTCGGACCACCCACATTACTGTGCTGCATACAAGCTCTAACTAGTTTTTAATCTCCTCAAACAGATTGTAAATGCAGACAGACTTTTATTTTAGAAAATATTACAAACAACTGAGAGAAAAAAATAATGACAGCCTGGTATAAAATGATTTTACAGTAAATGTTTCTGACACTGAGCTGGATTAAAATTATTCAGTAAACTAGTCTACAGAGTGTAATTAAAGAAACGAAGGAAGGAAAATCAGTAAACTGGACTGTGAGTGAAAAATGAGAGATGATCAGTGGAATTTTCTCTATTACTCGCTTAAACACTGGTGGGCCGTCCGGAAAACACTGAGCACATCTGTGGACCACCAGCTTTGCCATCAGTGGGCTGACAGTGGCCCACTATCCTCTTACTATCAGGGAAAACCGTACATCCGATCAAAAAGCTGTATAAAAGCTCACCATTCCCGATCAGACCGATCATCCCAGAGCTGGATCGATGTTTATCTCACTGATAAAGCTGCTTTATATCCGTCCTGATTATTTTAATCTGTACTGACTGACCATTGATCTCCATTACATCCAGCAAAGACCCGCCTTCTTTTATGTCTGATCGGTCAGTGCAGGAAAATCATTCCTTCCATTATTGTGATGTTATCATGATGTTACAGACCAATTCCTGTTTTTCAGCTCGGGGTGCCTGGAATTCTGCACAAAGACACAGACGTATAAAACATGAGGCTCAAACACTGAACCAGCCAACAAAACGGGTCTCACTGAAAAAATAAACTTCAGTCCTTAAAAACCTGTACAGTGATCCCCCTCCCCCCTACACTGCCCCCTCCACACTGCCCCCCCACACTGACCCCCCCACCGCCACAGCTGAACCCAAAAAACAATATAAATTAATTCATATTCATCTCTGTAAACAGCAGATCTTTATTATTAATTTAAACGCGTTTTTCAGTTGAGTGTCTCTGTTTTCAGGAACACACTGAAGACCTGCAGCAGAAAGCCATGAGCTCCCTCTTCAACCTCGTCTGCAGTTTGTACAAGGTCAGTCTGGGTCATCACTGACAACAACGTTTATATTTTAGTTCTTACATTATATATGAGTGTAAAAACCTAGAAATCCTGAGTCTAACGCTGAAGATAATAATGACCATCGTGTCCTCATTACGGTTATTATTGTCCTAATTTTTAAGGTGGTTTCGCTTCTTTCAGTGATGGGTAATTCAGCCTTTTAATAAAAGGCCTAATCAGTCCAATTTTGTGACACAAAGGTTTTAATCCTGATGGTCTTTTTTAGCAGGGAAGTCATTAATTCTGCTAGGTACCTACTACAACTTACCTGCTGGTTCCCTGTAGAACACCTTTAGATCACATTAGAAATCCATCAGATGCGTCTAGAATGAATCCCATAGTACAAACCATTAGGATCCTTTACAGTGTGATATCAACCCATCAGGAAAACACAATACAGAATTGGCCCTTTAATAAATGGCCTAGGGGTGTGTGTGTGTGTGTGTGTGTGTGTGTGCGTGTGTGCGTGTGTGTATGTGTGTGTGTGTGTGTGTGTTCATCCATCCTTATTGACAACCAGCTCAGTAAAGAACAGAAGCTGAAATGTTTACTAAATGCCTGTCTTGGTTTAAAGGTGGAAACGCAGCTGCTTTTGAGTTATATTTACTCTCTGACTCCCCCTGCTGGAGCTCAGTGTGTCTACATTTATCTAAATTGACATTTTACAAATTGAAGGCTTTAATAAAGTATTAAATCTTCTTAAGTCAGAGTTTGTAGAGTTCAGGATGTCAGTCTTTTGAATTATAAAGGTTGCTGTGGTATTTATTAAACTAAAGAAATGACATTTAAAACGTATTAAATGCTGCAGACGTTTTAAATCAGTGCATGCAGAGTTTAAATCACTCAGTGTTTTATTATTGACGTGTTCTGCTGTTCTGTGTTTCAGGGAGAGAAGCCGGCCGCGTGCACTCTGGGGATGAAAGGGAAAAAGGGAAGTTTCTGCTGATCCGGTTTTCCTCTCGGATTCTCCGTTCTGCTGCATCACTTTCATAATCAATCAGTTTTTATAACCTTTCAGTTTAAACAGTGAATTCACTTCATTAGACCTAATCCACAGTTTCAGTGTCAGGAATGCTGTGAAGGTATGAAGCACTTCAGCAGAGTGTGGTTATTATTTTAATAAAAGAATAAAACCTCATAACTGCCTCCTCAGATTCACTCTCTTTAAAGGAGTACAGTAAGTAGCTGTTACTGGTCAGTGATAAACGGACGGATCGTCAGACGTCCGATAATCACAGTAACGGCTTTAATTCATTAAAGTAAAACATTGAAAGTTCAGTTTAGTTTCTTCAGCAGCTGCATATCTGGAAATGACTCTTAAAATAAAGTGTTGACGTTTGGTTTAAGGTTTAGGAGAAGGTTGGCGACATTAACCTTTTAAGCTCCTTGAGTCCACCGGTGGTTCCAAAACGCGCTTCGTCATGTTCTTCATAACTTTCATATTTCATAAGCTACATTCTAAAGGTGGGGGTCGTATGAGAGCTGTAACTGTCTTCTTTCCAGTCAAATAGATGGGTGATGTAATTTTAAACCCTTATAATAAAAGAAGAACTTTTTTTTTTCTACTGAAAGTCGACCCATTTTTCCACAAATCTGGGCTAAAAACTATAAACAGATGGCGTCTCTTCAGTGATCTGCTCTGTGAAAACTATTTTTATAACATAATACAAGAGTGTCTAAGATTTTTGGCTTTCAGCAGTAAATTGTAAGCATATAGCAATATGTGTATCATAAAACACATGTTCTGTTAATCTGAGGGGAGCTTTTACAAAACAATAAATAAAACAAAAATTTACATTTATTTCATGCAGTTACTGAATAATTTGCTGTACGATTTGGTCTTTTAAATTCAGATGGACAAACCAAAATATACCCTGGTGAACCACATTAGCTACTTAGCTGGTCGAACACAGAGTGATTTAAAGGGACAGTCTGGACAGAATGAGGACTGTAATCACCTGTAAACGTTCACTCACAGCGCTGCTGCAGTGTCTGTATCAGTGGATCCTAATCTGCTTCTGAAGATTCCACACAGTCCACCCTTCACCTTCAGCCCTCCGTACCACTGGAACCACTGACTAATAATATCTTTATAGAGCACTTTTCATAGCAGTGGCAGCTCAGAGTGCTTTACAGACAGTAAAGTAACAGTAATAGAGGAAACTGTAAGTATTCATTTAAACTCATATCAGGCAATACAGATCAGATTAAAGAGATGAAGACCAAAGAGCCGCAGAGTTTTACTGAAGTGCTGAGTTAAAGAGCTGCGTTTTCAAATGTTTATTAAAAGTGAGCTCTGAGCTCGACTGTCTAATAAAAGGTGAACTGAGCTCCACAGTTTAGCTCAGTAGTCGCAACCCAAATGTTAAGAAGAGCCATTTTGTCGCGTTTCAATAAAAATCAAACCACCTCAGGAGCCACAGCCTTTCATGTCCATTTTATTGGAGTAACGTTTCACCATCTTGGCTGTAAAAATGTCTCAGTATGTGCTGATGTTTTAGTATGGACTAAAAGATATAAATGAAAACACAGACTTAATTTGCACTACTTTAAGCCTCACCTCAGCTACAGCTGCTTTTCTCGCATCTCCAGCAGGAAACTTTTCCACAAAAGTAGAACAGTTTCTTGTAAAATGTCTCCCAACATTCAACTTTTTACGAGACTGAAGTCGCTTCTCATTCACCAGCTTCACACTCGAATGTTTTCGTTCCACCTTAAATAGTGGCTGAGGTGCCAGAATTTAGCTATGTAGCTAACAGTTGCACCATTTAAGGTGGAACGGGGAAATTCGAAGCTGGCGAATGAGAAGCGACTTCAGCTTCACGACTTTTTATTGTTTGTTTATTGTTGCAGATTAAACTCTAATCAGCTGGAGTGATTATAAACGCAAATAAGTCCATTTGTCTCCAAATTATCGATGTTCATCTTAAATCTCTCTCTTTGCCGTTTCGTTAGCTACTAGCCAGGCGAGAGTGTTGTCTGTGTTGCTATGGTGACCAGCAGTCTGCACTGATCTTCAGGGTTAAAGGGTGAATTAGCAGTTCTACATTAACTCCAGAGTTTAAGACCATTTATTGTTAAACTGTGTTGAACGATCAGCAGAGCTTTATTTTACTGTAAAGGAGGATTATTTTATTTTTACCTACTAATCTAATTCAGCTGTGGAGCCACAACAGGACAGTAAAAGAGCCGCAGGTTGCCGACCGCGGGTATAGAAGCAGAATAACTGAAAGAGTCTCTCCATGTTTTCTGTGTTTTACTGAAGGAGTTCAGAAGGTCAGAATCTGCAGATCTGAGATCATAAACAGATGTTCAGGAGCTTTAAGGTCATTTAGAGCTTTAAAAACCAGCAGCAGAGCTTTAAACTCTCTCTAACAGATCCAGGCAGTCAGTGCAGTGTGTAACGGGGTGATATGAGCTCTCTGTGTTGGTGCTGTGAGGATCCGTGCTGCTGCGTTCTGTACGGGTTCTAGAGGATGGACTGTTTTCTCCAGTAAGAAGATCATTACAGTGATCAACTCTGCTGAACAAATGCAGCTGTTGATGCAGTTTCTCTGCGTCGCTCTGAGAGGGAAAAGGCTGAACTTTAGTGATTTTCTCAGATGATAAAAAGCTGCTTTAGTCACTGTGTGTACATGCAGATTAAACAGAGCTCAGAGTCTCAGATCACACCCAGGTTTCTACTGCAGGTTTGGAATATGAAGATAAACAGCTGGGATTCTCATAAAGCAGCTTCTCTGAATTTTTCAGTTTTTTGTGATTTAGTTGGCGAAAGTCTTGATTGTCAGAGGGAGTCGAAATGTATTTGTGTATCGTCAGCATAGCTGTGAAAATTGATAACAATTGATATAATCCTAATGATTATATTGTTCTTTTTTTCAGCAGGGAAGTCATTCATTCTGCAAGGTACCTACTACAACCTCTCTGCTGAACAAAGACCATTAGAACCAATAGGATTAAAACCTGAAGATTTTGCTTTCTAATGGGAAAAGGCTTAATGTTTACAATTAGAGACCACTAGTTCCCTGTAGAACACTCTTAGATCCCATTAATAAACCATCAGATGCATCTAGAATGAATCCCATAGTCCAAACCATAAGCATCCTTTGCAGTGTGATATCAACCCATCAGGAAAATATACAATACCATTAGAGACTGCTGGACACCACCAGAAACTAGCAGAAACTTTTAATGGTTTCTATGATGTGTTCTGCAGGGAGCTTTCTGTTTTGAATTACAGTCTACTGACTGTCTCTACTGTTCAGAACCTGGTCTGTATTACTGTCTGTGCTATCTCACCTATACCCAATAATTCCTTATGGTAAATCATCCGTTCAGTTAGGTATCCACTACACCTTTGTGGAAGTGTTAAAATGTTACTTGGCTGATTTTTTTGTGATCATTTAAATTGTCATTTGTTCCTGAGTCTGTGGTTTTGGAGTTTTATGTAAAATCTCATGTAGTGATGCAACAGTCACCATAAATAACCACCAAACCTTCAGTGGGTTTAAATATAAACCTTCACAGCTGGACAGGTTGTGCACTTTTTAGACGCTCCCTTAAACATCAACATAAACTCCTCTGAGTCTTTATGTTGGGTTAACTCAGCAGGACCCCTGTGGAATACACTGGGTTGTAGTCTGTTCTCTGTGATCTCAGGGGTGAAGAAATGTAGGTGTACGAGCCCCACTGGTGACATCCTGACATGCTGTTTCCCATCCGGTGTGGTCCAGAGGAGGATGGGTTCCCCTTCTGAGTCTTGGTTCCTCTCAGTGTTTCTTCCTTTTGCTCTTAGGGAGTTTTTCCTTGCCACTGTCTCCATTGGCGACGCTCATGGGGGCTCAGACCCGGACTTTTCTGTACAGCTGCTTTGTGACACACCTGCTGTAAAAAGCGCCATATAAATAAACTTTAACTTGACTTTGACATCCTGTATAAATAAAAATAATGTGTGGCCACGACTTAGTAAGGCATGGGAACAAGATAATTAAGGTGTGGGAATTGTTACGATCCTGGGGGCGTATGGTGTTTTTTTTGTAATCACTTTCCCTCTAGGATTGGTGTCTGGAGGGTCTGATTGGATACAGCAGGGCGCCCCAGTTACTTAAGGGCCGTTGCAGTACTGCGGGAGGAGGAGAGGGCTGTTCCAATGGTCGCACCTGTGCCATCAGCCTCCACCTGACCAGACCAAGCACCTGAACTTTTTGTGAACTTGTGTTATTGTTGTCTGAGTTTGCTTAAATACCTGTAAAGCTTTCCTTTTCTAAGTAAGGGGGTGAGGGCCCTATGTTTTTTTTGTATATTGTTTTCTCCTGGTTTGGGATGGGGAGGTAGTCTTATAATTGTAATTTTGTTTTGAGTTAGATTAGTTTAGTTATCCTTTGTTTCTAGTTTGTTTTGGCTTTATCTCACCCCCTGAAGTTTATCTTTTGTGTAAGCTCATTTGCATTTGATCAGTTTAGAACTAGCCTTACCAACCTCTATAAGATGGTGCCTTTGTTCAAGTTAAAAGAAATAAATGCTGATAAGTGATCAATTATTTGTAGTTTTTAAACACCTCAGTGTAGTGGTGTCTTGGTCTGGCAGTTGGATGGCGTTGGCTTGTCTTTTTTTTGTGTACGACCTTAAGTGTTCCCCTAGACATAGGAGGTCGTAACAGAATTAAATCCTAATGCATGGCAACAACTTAGAAAGACATGATCTCGTTCCCACGCCTTACTAAGTTGTGTCCATGGCTTAATTATCTCATTCTCATGCGTTAATAAGGCGTAGCCACGTTATTTTTATTTATATAGGATGTCACTAGCAGGGCTCCATACAGGCACGTTTATTTAATCAAAGAAATCAAGCTGAACCCTGCTGAAAAGGGACCATTAGAAACCATTAGGATTAAAACCTAATGGTCTTGCTTTCTAATGGGAATTGGCTCAATGGTTTCCCTCAGAGACCACTAGTTTCTGTGGGACACTTTTAAATCCCATTAGGAAACCATCAGATGCGTTTAGAATCAGCTGCTGGTCACTTATTAAACCATGGGAATCGTTTACAATGTGATATCAACACATTAAAAAGCCCAAACCTTACAAAACCACCAGGAACCAACAGACACATCCATGATAGCAAGAGGATAGTGGGCCATTGTTGGCCTGCTAATGGCGAAGCTGGTGGTCCACTGGTGTTTTGCTCAGTGTTTTCTGGGTGGTCCACCAGCAGAGTGTTAAACAAAACTCGACTGATCGCTCATTTTTCCCCCACAGTCCAGTTTACTGATTTTTCCTTCCTTCATTTCTTTAGTTACACTCTGTAAATTAGTCCGGCTCAGTGTCAACATTTACTATAAAATCATTTTATATCTAGTCATGATTTCTTTTCTCTCAGATGTTTGTAATTGTAGGCTTAGTTTATTTACTAAAATAAACGTCTCAAATTTGTTTGAGAAGATTAAAACTAGTTAGAGTTTGTGTGCAGGACAGTAATCTGGGTGGTCCAAGGGGGGACCAGCAGTGGCAAAGTGAGGAGAGAGAGGAGAGAGACTTTATTCAGCATGGTGAGTGACAGAGCAGGTACTATTTGGGTGGTGGATCATTCTCCACTCACTGTCCACTCTAGTAGACACTCCTACCTTGTCGGTCCACCTTGTAGATGTAAAGTCAGAGACGATAGCTCATCTGCTGCTGCACAGTTTGTGTTGGTCATCCTCTCGTCCTTCATCAGTGGTCACAGGACGCTGCCCACAGGACGCTGTTGGCTGGATATTTTTGGTTGGTGGACTATTCTCTGTCCAGCAGTGACACTGAGGTGTTTAAAAACTCCAGCAGCGCTGCTGTGTCTGATCCACTCGCACCAGTACAACACACACTAACACACCACCACCACGTCAGTGTTACTGCAGTGCTGGGAATGATTTATGATATTTAAACTGGTTTCTCTGTAGCCTGTTGAAGCTGAAGTGCATTTACGTCTTACTGTTACAGTTTTAGAAATTACTGGAGTCTGATCAACATGTTGATGAATGTCTCTCTATGATCGGTAATTAAACTAGAAATGACTCATTAAATCTGTTACTCTGAGTCTCTTAACACGGACTGAAAGCCAGCATCGCGAAGTTTACCCTCCTACTGTTTTAGCAATAAAAGCCTCTTTAACAGCTTTTTATACTTTAAAACATGTTTAACTACAAACTGTTTTACAGACAATGTGAAAATCGTCTCGCGCTGAAGATCAGAACGGAATAACGGTACAAATATGAATGAATTAAACCTCTTTAAGCCTGAAGATGTCATGATTTCGACATGCGCAATGAGGGAAACAGGGAACTGATAGTGTTTCATTCTGGAGGCAGCTGTCTAAATCACTGCCTCTAATGGTTCCTCTGTCTTTGGGCAGCATTTTAACCGAAAAGGAACCTTAGTAGGCGTCACATTCGGGGCGGAGCTTCAGAGCCATCATACGACACAGCTTTCACTGCACTGTTCACGTTTTATCAGCTTCCTCACAGTCGCTGGTTACTCACACTCCCCTCAGTGAACAAGGGCAGCTCCCGAACCTGCAGCAGCTGCTTTCCTGCACTGACTCTGCTGAGTGAGTTTATTATATATGAAGAACCGCAGCTTTAAGGAGTCGCATCTGTCTTTATATAATCGACTCAGCGCCCCAGATAAATTCACTACAATCAAACTAGTTTGTGAATTATTTAACTCATTCATCCACCTTAATGAACTGCTTTATTTCTAACACACAACAGACAAAAACTACATGAAAAAAGGATCATATACAATCTGTTAAGCTGCTAATATGCGTTTTATTTTAAGCATCTCTTCTGATTTATGAGCTCCTAGTCGGAAATTTAGCCGTCAACATTCACCAACACTGATGTGACTGTGTTAAGCACAGCGATACAAACAAGCAGAACAGGAAAAATCAGCATCTGTAGTGTTTATATTCAAAACCGGTTTATTTCTGAATTTCTACATCGTCCAGCAAGTTAAAGTTCAGGGGGAACGTCAGTCTACAGCGCTGGGTCTGCAGTGTTTTCAGCGCAGTTTTCTCCATAACAGTTTCTCCTCCTCAGCTCCTCAAACAGCAGCTCTCCGCTGCTGAAACATTGAGTACGGAATCAAACTGATCAATTATTCACATATAAAACGCTACTAAACAGTGAAGAGCCAGTATTTTAAACTGGACTCTCTCGTTTTAAAGAGCCGGTGTTGGGCTGAACTGAAGTGTAATTTCAGCAGGTGTCAAAAATAATACTGCCAAAGTTCTACTCCCCCCAGTAAAACCCCCCTGTTGAATTCAGAGACATATGCTTTATATGCTGTAATCTATGAACCAGGAGTCCTTGTCCTATGAAAGCAATGAAAGTCTGGTTGCTGAATAATGATGAGAAAAACAGTCAGCTAATGCTGCAGCGTCAGGTCCTCAGATGTGAGCTTTACTGGTCTAGACAGAGGTTTAAAGCTGTGTTTAATGTGTCCTAATACTTATCGTTATGACTGAAAGCCATTCAGTCCCACCAGTTCTCAAGTACAGCAACTACAATCGTTCAATGCCGTAATACTGAGCTGAACCGTGGCGGTGAGGGTCTTTGTTTGGTGTAGATCTGTTGTGTTGTTCGCTGTGAAGGGAGATTAAAGATGAAGCGTTATTTACATAGAAATGACCTGAGAAATCCTGAGTGCAGCCCGTAACGCCCACATGCTTACGAGAAGCGCGTGCACGCGAGGGGGAGTCGGATTCTGCCGGGGAGTCGAAATTCGGCACAACACCGGATTCACTGAGAACATCCTGTTTGGATCTGCTGGTCTCGGAGGTGAAGAGAGCGCTCTCATTGGTGGAGCTACACATCACTCCACCCTCTTCAACCAATAAAATCCCTCAGCTCTTCCTGTGATGGAGAGCTAATCCAGTCCAAACCGGTTTAGAGTGAAAGTGAAAGTGGAGCCGCGTCTGTTCAGAGAAGAGAAGATCAGAAACAGAGAAAAGCTCAGAGGTAATTACTGAACATCAACACTCACAGTTCACTGAGGAGAACAAGGAGAACCACACTGATCTGAGAGGAACAGCTGCTGGGTTCTGCTTTAGGTTCTGCTGAAAGGCTCTGTTTGATAAAGTCAGGTAACTGAAGCTAAGCTAAGCTAATGCTCAGGTAGCCAATAAACCCAGAGAAATGTTGGAGCTTTTAGAGCCTCAGAGCTTCTTTCTGTGAGGAGAACCTTTAATTTATGGAAATCACCACATTTTGGTTATTAATAGTTCAGAATGAGCTTCTTAGAGACTTTTATTATGGAGAAAAGACGCTAACGGCTAAATGCTAACAGCTGGGTGACTCGTTTGTTCGTTCGTGCTGTAGTTGAGCTGTGGGTGACTCGTTTGTTCGTTCGTGCTGTAGTTGAGCTGCGGGTGACTCGTTTGTTCGTTCGTACTGTAGTCGAGCTGCGGGTGACTCGTTTGTTCGTTCGTGCTGTAGTCGAGCTGTGAGTGACTCGTTTGCTCGTTCGTGCTGTAGTCGAGCTGCGGGTGACTCGTTCGTTCGTGCTGTAGTTGAGCTGCGGGTGACTCGTTTGTTCGTTCGTACTGTAGTCGAGCTGCGGGTGACTCGTTCGTTCGTGCTGTAGTCGAGCTGCGGGTGACTCGTTTGTTCGTTCGTGCTGTAGTCGAGCTGCGGGTGACTCGTTTGTTCGTTCGTGCTGTAGTTGAGCTGTGGGTGACTCGTTTGATCGTTCGTACTGTAGTCGAGCTGCGGGTGACTCGTTCGTTCGTACTGTAGTCGAGCTGCGGGTGACTCGTTCGTTCGTGCTGTAGTTGAGCTGTGGGTGACTCGTTTGTTCGTTCGTGCTGTAGTCGAGCTGTGAGTGACTCGTTTGTTCGTTCGTGCTGTAGTCGAGCTGTGAGTGACTCGTTTGTTCGTTCGTGCTGCAGTTGAGCTGTGAGTGATTAGTTCGTTCGTGCTGTAGTCGAGCTGTGGGTGACTCGTTTGTTCGTTCGTGCTGTAGTCGAGCTGTGAGTGACTCGTTTGTTCGTTCGTGCTGTAGTCGAGCTGTGAGTGACGCGTTTGTTCGTTGGTGCTGTAGTCGAGCTGTGGGTGACTCGTTTGTTCGTTCGTGCTGTAGTCGAGCTGTGAGTGACTCGTTTGTTCGTTCGTACTGTAGTCGAGCTGTGAGTGACTCGTTTGTTCGTTCGTGCTGTAGTCGAGCTGTGAGTGACTCGTTTGTTCGTTCGTACTGTAGTCGAGCTGTGAGTGACTCGTTTGTTCGTTCGTGCTGTAGTTGAGCTGTGAGTGACTCGTTTGTTCGTTCGTGCTGTAGTTGAGCTGTGGGTGACTCGTTTGTTCGTTCGTGCTGTAGTTGAGCTGTGAGTGACTCGTTTGTTCGTTCGTGCTGTAGTTGAGCTGTGAGTGACTCGTTTGTTCGTTTGTGCTGTAGTTGAGCTGTGGGTGACTCGTTTGTTCGTTGGTGCTGTAGTTGAGCTGTGAGTGACTTGTTTGTTCGTGCTGTAGTTGAGCTGTGAGTGACTCGTTTGTTCGTTTGTGCTGTAGTTGAGCTGTGGGTGACTCGTTTGTTCGTTGGTGCTGTAGTTGAGCTGTGAGTGACTCGTTTGTTCGTTGGTGCTGTAGTTGAGCTGTGAGTGACTCGTTTGTTCGTTTGTGCTGTAGTTGAGCTGTGGGTGACTCGTTTGTTCGTTTGTGCTGTAGTTGAGCTGTGGGTGACTCGTTTGTTCGTTGGTGCTGTAGTTGAGCTGTGGGTGACTCGTTTGTTCGTTGGTGCTGTAGTTGAGCTGTGGGTGACTCGTTTGTTCGTTTGTGCTGTAGTTGAGCTGTGGGTGACTCGTTTGTTTGTTGGTGCTGTAGTTGAGCTGTGAGTGACTCGTTTGTTCGTGCTGTAGTTGAGCTGTGAGTAACTCGTTTGTTCGTGCTGTAGTTGAGCTGTGAGTGACTCGTTTGTTCGTTGGTGCTGTAGTCGAGCTGTGGGTGACTCGTTTGTTTGTGCTCTGCTGACCTGTAACACCTTGTATGTAGAATATTAATAAATAAGCATTTAGTATTAAAAAGTACTTTTAATGAACTCTTACATAATAAACTGTCAAATCTTACTGTTTATACTTTATAAACTCCACAGTGATTATTATATATATTTTCTCTAGTATGATTTTTCTCCATTGTTCTGTTTCAGTCTGATTCAGAGAGATCAGACTCACCTGATTTCAGCTATGAGTCCATGAAGAGTCAGTGATCCACCAGGATGATCCAGAGAGGAGGACGGTTCTACTGAGGTAGAGAGTTTACAGTATGAATGGTGCAGTGAAGTGTTCCTCACTTCCAGCCTCACCTGATTAACCTCAGCAGGTAGAGCAGAGTAACCTGTGCAGAGCTGTGGTTCTACAGAACATGGAGAGAGGAGCTTCGGTTCCACACCTCATCTAGATAACATCAGACCTCATTAATAGAGTAGTAACAGTATGAGATTTTCATGGTATGATATCTGTCTCAGAAGATATCATGGTATACAGTATTTCACTGTTACTAAACGCAGGATTGTACTGTTGTAGTTGGTGGAGCTCTTTTTAACTCACACACAACTAATCATTATTTTTGTTTGTTGATTAATCTGCTGATTGTTTTCTTCATTAATCGATTGTTTAGTTTTTAAAAATTATGAAAATGGTGAGAAACACCATCACAAGTGCTCTTCACGGTTAACAAAGAAGTTGGCAATTTGCTGTATATGTGTGACGGCACAGCCAGACTGAGAAGAAACAAGGCCTCTAAACACAGCCCTCTGCTCTACTCCAGAAAACCCCCCACTCCCCCCACATTCAGGCTCTTCAGCGTAAAAGTCCTTGTACGAATAAACCTTAAACAGCCCAACATAAACATTTCCTCACTTCACAAAACTGAACTACCCACAGTGCAGCGCAGTGACACCACAATACATTTTGTCTGTTTTGTACCTCGAGTTCAACCACATCCATGAAGCGCTGGCTAACCTGTGCATGCGCTGTGCTGTTACCCCCTAGCCTGCCGCTAAGAGAGGCTAGCGGGCCTGGTAGACAGAGCGAAACCACTCTGCGAGGAAAGCAGCTCATCTGGAGATTACACTCATGAGATTCCCTCAAATGTGTATTCATGAGGAAGAGAAGCCCATAAACTGTACAGAACACACAGACTAAACGTGTCCTATTAGTACCTGAAACTAGATTAAAGGCTCAGTTCATCAGTGTCTGATTGTCTCCATCAGCTACTCTTATATGAAGATCCTGAAGAGGCCATAACAGGATTAGTCCTGTGGAACTAAAGAGAACCTGACTGTAGCCTAATGGCGAGTCTGAGCCTGTATTAGCTCTGAGTAGAGTGATCATCTGTACATGGCTGAACTACAGCAGCTCAGAGTGATGGACCATTTACTGAGAGATCAGATTACTGTTCCACTCCAACACCGTCCACCTGAGAATGACCCGCAGTTCTGGATCAACATTACAGAGACATTTTATTATTATGGAGCTCAGATGAAGCTGAAATATGAGATTTACGTCTCCAAAACGTCACTGTTTACTCAACACTCTGTTTCCATCACTCTGTATCACAGCTCATCTGTGTTAATAGACTCTGTTCACCTCAGTTAAATGTGAAATCATCTTTTGTAGTGTTTAGGTGTTTTTATTTGGCTTTTACATTGAGGTTTTCTAATGTCCAACATTAGAGTTCATCTATAAATTGATTTAAAACTTAGTGTGCAGTTCTGTGTGATGGACAGTCTGAGCTCTACACAGCCTTCACTGCAGATCAATATCATATAATGACGGATTATGATTAATAAAGACTGAAGCAGCAGAAGATGTGATGGTGCCAGTAGATCTAGAGCCTGTTTTCCTGTGTCTGCTTCACCATCATCCCTAGTAGTAGATACTGTTGGATTTTAATTAAAAAAGTCAACTTCCTAAAACACTTGGTATTATTTTGAGCTACGTTAACAAGCTCACTAGTTTACAAAGATTCGTTCTGCATCTTACACACATTTTTATGGATGAACTGTTCACAGAGGGCAGCATTTCCAGTGTCCAGCTGTGTGTGGAGAATAAATCCTCAGTGATGGAGCTTCATCACTCCAGCAGTGGAGGAACAACCTCTGATTCAAAGTGAGTAACTTTATATCAGATCTTAATCTGATTAAACAGAAAGAGGAAATCAGAATAAATGAGTCTTAGTGAAGATCATAATTACGCACTGAAATCTCACTGTGGATGAACTTTTCTCAGAGTGAAGCGTGCAGGACCTCCAGAACCCAGCTGTGTGTCTGAGAAGAGTGACCGGTCCATGGAGAACCCTCTTAAATTCAGCACAGAAGGAGGAGAACCCAGCTGTGTGTCTGAGAAGAGTGACCGGTCCATGGAGAACCCTCTTAAATTCAGCAGTGGAGGAGGAGAACCCAGCTGTGTGTCTATGAAGAGTGACCGGTCCATGGAGAACCCTCTTAAATTCAGCAGTGGAGGAGGAGAACCCAGCTGTGTGTCTATGAAGAGTGACCGGTCCATGGAGAACCCTCTTAAATTCAGCGGAGGAGGAGGAGAACCCAGCTGTGTGTCTATGAAGAGTGACCGGTCCATGATGTTTCCAGCACAGTCCAGTGGAGGGAGAGGATCCTCTGACTCAGGGTAAATATCTGCTCCCAGTAAACAGCAGCTCTGACAGTGAATCACTGTAAACATGTTCCTGATCTCTGGGCTGTAGATCAGTTTAGAAAGGCTGGAGTTTCTCACATATTTAATATCAGCAGGACTGAAACCCAGAGAGCAGCTTCTCCAGTGTCCAGTTCTGTGTGTAAGAAGAACAATAGTCCATCCCTGAACATTCAATCCTGTGACCCACAATGAGAGAAACATTCAGGACTCTTATTTACCTTCTCGGTTTATATACCCTGTACATAAACTACCACTGTTAAACATGACTTTATTACAGAATTCATGTAGACCAAATAGCTCCACCACGGACCACTCACTTTAATAGACACACAGCTTGGCTGTGATACTGATAAACTGCTGTCTGATTTTGAGTCTTGCTAATTTTTAGCAAAAGGAGCATATTGGTGCTGTCTGGGCTTTTGCAGGACATCAGGGTATCACTGGCAGGAGAGGGTGGATGACCTGCTCTTAACCTGGAGTCTGTTTATCCAGTGGTGCTGTGTGTATGTGGGGTCGTGAAACACATGCATGTATCATCACACAGAAACACTCTTTAATTATTGTTTACAGTGAATACACTCTATATGTCAATGCATCAGTTATTTTCAAAATGTTCAATTATAATTAATGAGTTTATTTATAGTCAGTTAATTTAAACCAGATGTATTTTTGTGACTAATGGTTCATTAAACCAGCTCTAAATGCTGTTTTAATCTGTAAGGTCTATAAGAAAACAAACACATCTCCTTTTATTATTAGGGTTTAAAGAAAGTGAAAGGAAGTTGATAGTTTATGTCCGTAAACACCCAGAAGGGGGAGCTCTCACTGGTTGACTTCAGGCACCCTACATTTGCTTTTTAAATAAACTTTATTAAATATTTCAATTACATACATATCAAAAGAACAATACAAAGTCATATGAATACCATGGTACACACAAACACAACAAATCCATCTAAAATACAATAAAGCACAAACTTACAATTAATTTAAATGAGAAAATTATAAGTCCAGCAGAGCCCAGGGATATTTTGATTTTCTGTCCATTGTTCGCAGTCGTTTCAGTTCAAAAGTTTAAAAACAACTTCTGCAGGAATTTGCGTCTGTTGTATTACCATTTTGCATCCGTTTTCCACAGTTTACAGTTAGTAATACAAACAATCAACCAATAAATATCTTTAACATTCTTTGACAATCTTTCCTCAAAATTTCCAAACATTATAGACTTAACATTTATATTGAATTTAACACCCAGAGCATTTAGTCTTTTCCACACATCCACAGATCGTTCACAACAAATTAACAGGTGTTCAATAGTCTCATCTTCATCACAGTTAGCAGCTGGACATAGTTTCGTGGTAACGTAGCAGCTCCACTTAACAACACATCGTACAGCTAATCGACCCACGCTGATTAGCCATGCTATGTCCCTCATGTTCTCAGAGATGTGCGTTGATTGGATGTTTCTAAAACATATTTTACTCTCTGCTTCGTTGAGATGTTTGTGTTGATAGAGACCTCCATAGATGTGTTCGCTTATAATGTTATAGATCTTTTTACTAGAAAAGCTACACCAGTTAATCTTAAGCTTTGCATATTTAAAAGTAAAATCGCCTTATATTAATTTGTGGTATGGAACATTTTTTCTTGCCTTTCCTTTCTTTTTCCCCCAACTTCTAATGTCCCCCACCCACACTGCACCTCTCTTTATTGCCTGTGCTACCATTTTACAATAAGCTATTTTAAGTTTTAAACCAATGTCCATTGCACCAAGACCTCCTAAAGTTTTAGATTTATATAAAATTTCCCTTTTAGTGACTTCCCTTGAGGTGCCCCAAATGAATCGCACACACATTTTATTTAGCCTCATGACACATTTATCGTTGGGGGGGAAAACTGTGGCTAAGAACAGCAATTTGGACAAAACAAAAGTTTTAATGATTTGAATCTTGGTTTTATAATTTGAGGCTTTCCATTGTTCCAGCTCTGTTTTGATCTCTTCCTCTTTATTATTCCAATTATTCTCAGCACAGTTTCCTCTTGTAATTGAGAGTCCTAAGATTTTAACCTCTTCCTTCATGTCTAAACTCATGTGAGGCCTCTTCTTCTAAAATGTTCATATACCACATTAAATTCACTCTGACTTTTAATAAACACCGTTATATCGTCTGCATAAGCCGAGGTTTTGACCTGTGCACCCAATTTATTAGTCACCCCAGAAATACGAGGGTCCTGCTTGATCTTGTTCAAAAGAGGACTTATGGCCATGATATAGAGTGCAGCACTCAGAGGGCATCCCTGTTTAACCCCTCTGTGAATCTCAAGGTTTTCTGTTAAAACTCCATTTACATTAATCTGAACTATTGATTTCTTATACAAGACTTTCACCATATCTATGAATTTTAGAGGAAAACCATAGCAATCCATCACTTGCCACAAGTACTCCCTCGAAACAAAATCAAAAGCCTTTTTCTGGTCCAGACTGATTAGACAGAAGTCCTCAGTTTGCTCGTCTGAAATGAGGTCCCTAACTATGCATAAATTATCAATCATAAAACGACCTTTTATTGCATATGTTTGCTCAAATTCAATTATTCTATTTAAAAACTCGCTCATTCGATTCATTAAGACTTTGGCTAAAATTTTAATCTTAATAATCTTAATAATCTATATTCATCACACTTATTTGTCTCCAATTGTCTAAATTATACTGATCTCCTTTTTTATAGATCAGCGACACCACACCCTGATAAAAACTCTCGTTTAACATTCCCTTTTTCAGTCCTTCATTAAAATACTCCATCAGTAGGTCACTCATTTCAGACGAGCAAGCTTTATAGACTTCGGCCGGCAGCCCGTCTGGCCCCGGCGATTTCCCATCATTTAAACTTTCAATTGCACTGAGAATCTCTGTCTTTTCTATATTTTTAGTCAAATGACTTAAATCTGCTCCACTTAGTTTTGGACAAGAAGATAAAAACTGTGTAATTTTTTTCCTCATCAACTGGAAATTTCTTATAAGCTTCTTGGCATTTAGACCTAATAAGCTCTCTCTTTTCTTTTTCATTCTCAACAATGTTACCATGATCGTCTTTTATTCCTCTGATTCTTTTATTTTCTCTCCTTTCATTTAGTTTTTTGATTACATTTTGTGCATTTCCTGTTAAGTTGGTATGTAAACCTGCTTGAAGCTGTACATTTAAAAAAAATCTCATTATTCATCTGCAATAATTCTGATTTAATTTTAGATAATTCGTCTTCGTCTTCTGCATTTCGATGTTGTTTGCTTTGTAATTCCACAAATTCTAGCATTAAATTATTATAATACTCATTTCTCTCTTTATTTAATTCCTTACACTTATATTTAAAAAATGACTGTATTTGTTTTTTGAAAACTAACCACAAATCAATCCCTGAACTCGTTAAAACCTTCAGATCTTTAATCCTTTTAATCTCTTGCTTTAGCTCTAAAACCATTTCTTCATTCTTTAAACATTTTGTATTCAGTTTCCAGTATCCTCGCTGTTCATTAACACCCAAGTTCATCCTCACATTCACTGCCAAATGATCAGAATCTACCAAATACTCAGTTTTATAATACGAAACCTTAATATTACTAGACACATAAACTCTGTCTATTCTGGTTTTAACTCGACTATCTATCCGTGTGTAGCCTGGTTTATTTGGGTAGATTTCCCTAAAGGCATCTACTATTTTACACGTGTCACACACTTTTTTAAGAAGTTTCCCATCTCTAGACAGGGGAATGTCTTTAATTGGTATTCTATCATTTTCTTCTGTTATAACGTTAAAATCTCCACACAATATAACCCCAAATCCCACACAAAGTAGCTCATACAGTTTATAAAATAATCTCATCTTGCCAGCTCTGTCAGGGGGTGTATATATATTAACAATTCTTAACTTAACATTCCTGTACACACAATCTACTAATAGTAACCTGCCGGGCACAATTTCTCTACTTTTAATAATCTCAGCATCGTGTTTGAAGAAGATTCCCACCCCGTCAGCACTGTCCTCACCCACAGACAAGATGGCAGGACCCCCGCACCACATTTCCTTAACGCTATTAATGTCATTATTATCCTTCAACCTCAACTCTTGTGCACATATAATGTCACATTTTTTGTTGTTTAAACTCTCTACTTTCATCTTTCTATATCGTTCTGTGCGTACTCCTCTAACATTTAATAGATATGATATTAACAGACATTTAAAGAATAAGAAATAGTACATAATATACGGTTTTGTCTCTATGTTCAAAAAGTTCTTATTCCTATATTTGCCCTTCCAGTTCATAGACGTGAGCTGTTCAGGCGTGAGATGGTCATTTCAAAAAGCTCCTCTTTCACTTCCATTCATTTCAGGACTGTGGTGAACATATGTCAACCAATAATTCATAACCTTGTTAATTAAATCAAAATTTTTTGTTTGATAATGTTTATTGCAACAAATATTATTTACCAGTAGAAACAGAAAATCACAGTACATGATTTAAAGTGAATAATGACATTTTTATAAACTTTAAATATTTTAAATATTTACTTTAATTTTTTTTTTGTTTTTCATGAATCCATTGTTTATGTACTTATATATGAATTTTAGTATTTATTAATGCATTAATGTAATTTGATTCATGCTTTATTTTGAATGTATTGTTAAATAATACCACTAATAATAATGATACTAATAATAAGATTAATAATAGTATCGCTTTCAACATGCTCACAATTTGCTGAGCAGCTGCTACAAACAGGTTGGTAATTTTCACTGTACACTGAGGTTTGTGTCATTAAGAGGTCTGTAGAGCCTCATTAACTAACTTAATGTCAGCTTAGTGAGACCCAAACAGAGCCACACGTCTCAGTACAGGTTTGATTCTGACTGCTGCTCAGAACAGTGTGTGATAGTGAACCTTTAACTATTAATAACCAGCTCCATAAAATTTAAAACCAAATTTAACCTCAATTAATGTTATGTTCTAGTACTACATCATTGCCTGGGAATATTTATAATTGTTAGTTATGGAGAAATCAAAAGTTATCTTGGGAATTTGAGGTAAACACAATATTATTTTGCTAAATAGCTCAAATCTAAAAATAAATTATCAGAAGATTATTATTTGTATTAATGATGTTTGTGTTACTGTGTTTGGTCCTGATTAGGCAGCACTCCACACAAACAGCACTGCAGATAAACACTCTAGCAGATATTCACCAACCAGTGGATGATGTTCTACACAGAGTCTTAGAGAGACACAAAACCAGCATGAAGAACAAGTACGAGAGCCTATTTGAGGGAATCAGAACAGAAGAGAATAAAACCCTCCTGAACAGGATTTACACTCAGCTCTACATCATAGAGGGAGAGAGTGAAGGAGTGAATGAAGAACATGAGGTTCTACAGATGGAGAAAACATCCAGGAGACGCTTACAAGACTCTCCAATCAACTGCTCAGACATCTTTAAACCTCTACAAGGTCCTGAAGGAGAAACACGAGAAGAGACCATTAGAGCTGTGGAGGCTGACAGACTCAGACACAGAGAAGGAGAAGATAACAGACCAGAAGAGCCAGAGCTCAGAGCTGTTCTGACTAAAGGCATCGCTGGAATTGGAAAAACTGTCTCTGTGCAGAAGTTCATTCTGGACTGGGCTGAAGGAACAGCCAATCAGGATGTGGAGCTCATGTTTGTGCTTCCGTTCCGGGAGCTGAACCTGATTAAAGATGATCAATACAGTCTTCATGGACTTCTGTGTGACTTCCATCCTGAGCTCAAAGATCTGGACCCAGAGATTTATCATCAGATCAAAGCTGTGTTTATATTTGATGGTCTGGATGAAAGCAGAATTCCACTGAACTTTGAACAGTGTGAGAAAGTATCTGACATCACCATGACATCATCAGTGGGTGTGTTGATGACCAACCTCATCAAAGGAGATCTGCTTCCCTCTGCTCTGATCTGGATAACCTCCCGACCAGCAGCAGCCAATCAGATCCCTCCAAAATACATCAACCGTGTGACCGAAATTCAGGGATTCAGTGACCCACAGAAGGAGGAGTACTTCAGGAAGAGGATCAGTGATGAAGACCAAGCCCAGAGAATCATCTCCCACATTAAGACAGTGAGGAGCCTCCACATCATGTGCCACATTCCAGTCTTCTGCTGGATCTCAGCCACTGTTCTTCAGCAGATCATGAAACAGCCTCATACAGAAATCCCTAAAACTCTGACTGAAATGTACTCACAGTTCCTGATCACTCAGACCAACATGAAGAACGAGAAGTATGAGGAGAAAGACGAGAGAGACCCAAAGAACCTGCTGGAGTCCAACAGAACCGTTCTTCTGAAACTGGCTGAACTGGCTTTCAAACAGCTGATGAAGGGCAATGTGATGTTCTATAAAGAGGACCTGAGAGAGAGCAGCATTGATGTCACTGAGGCCTCAGTGTATTCTGGGATTTTCACTGAGATCTTTAGGGAGGAATGTGTGCTTCACCAGAGGAAGGTCTACTGCTTTGTTCATCTGAGCTTTCAGGAGTTCCTGGCTGCTGTTTATGTGTTTCACTGCTATGAGAACAAAAACATGGAGGAACTGGAGATACTTAACCCACAGTACAGTGAGTGGTCTGAGAATGTTCCTCTGGATGAGGTTCTGATGGGAGCAGTGAATAAAGCAGTAAAGAGTCCGAATGGACACCTGGATCTTTTCCTCCGTTTCCTGCTGGGCGTCTCACTGAAGTCCAATCAGAGACGCCTGCAGGGTCTACTGACCCCAACACAGCGCAGCTCAGAGAGAACCAGAGAGCGCATCAAGAGATTAATCAAAGGAGATAATTATCGCATCTCCACTGAGAGATCCATCAATCTGTTCCTCTGTCTGTCTGAAATGAATGACCAGTCTCTCTCCAGAGAGATTCAGGAGTATCTAAACTCAGAGAGACACTCAGAGGTGAGACTCTCTCCTGGACAGTGTTCAGCACTAGCCTGCATGCTTCTGACCTCAGAGGAGGTTCTGGATGAGCTGGACCTGAAGAAATTCAACACATCTGAGGAGGGTTATAGGAGACTGATCCCAGCTCTGACTGTCTGCAGGAAAGCTCGGTGAGTGTTACATCTACATTAATACAGCAGATTAATATCTGATTATTGATGATTGATTAAGGCTGAACACATCAAATCTTCAGTTCAGACAGTTAAAAATAAATTGTATTTATTATAGTTTTAGTTAATATGAAGTACTGCAGGGACACTGCTTGGCCACTTTATTAGAAACCCCTATTTTTGGAGTTAGGACTGAATGATATATTGTCAGTATAGACTGTGGTACACTGTGATATTGGCATTGTGATAGAGCTCTTCAGTTTTAGGAACAATAAGCATGAGCTTATTGTAAATCCTTAAAATTACACTATAAATATTTCAGCATTTTTATAAAAGTACATGTAACTGAGAAAATGTTCAATAAACAGTGTTAAACAATAGTTAATTTAGATGGCTTTATCTAGAATCAACAATTATATATAATTATAAACCAAGGCTCATTAACATGTCCTTGAATTTTGGACATTAACAGTAAATGGAAATTTATAATAAAGTTCAAGTGAATGTACTCTAAATGTCAACACTTTAATTCCATCTGTGGAGAATTACACAGGAGGAGATGAGTTTTATATGACATTAGAATGAGCTCGAGCTGATTACTTAACTGAACCTCTTATGCTTGTGGGTACATTTTGGTTTTTCATCTGAATTTTCATGACCAAATCATAAGAAAAATTATTCAGTAACTGTGTGAAATAAATGTGAATTTTTGTTTTTTTTATTTATTAATTTTCTTTTTTAAAAGTTCCCCTCAAATTAACAGAAAATGTGTTTTATGATCACACACATAACTATATGCTTACAATTTACTGCTGAAAGCCAAAAATCTTAGACGCTGTTTGTATTATTTTATAAAAAAATAATTTTTAGACAGCAGATCACTGAAGAGACGCCATCTGTTTATAGTTTATAGCCCAGATCTGTAGAAAAATGGGTCGACTTTCAGTAGACAAAAAAAAAAATATTGTGAGTTCAGCTTCTTTTATTATAAGGGTTTAAAATTACATCACACATCTATTTGACTGGAAAGAAGACAGTTACAGCCTCATATGACCCCCACCTTTAGAATGAAGCTTATGAAATATGAAAGTTATGAAGAATATGACGAAGTTAATCTTACATTCTCCACTTTTCCTAATAAAAGATCTCAAACTATAAAACATTCAGATGAACCCCATTCAGTGACGTTTCTCATGTTGAACACTTTGACTGTGTTACATAAAAGAACTCATTTCAGATTTCTAACTCTTTCAGTGAATGAACAGTTACTGAAGTCCGAGCAGTAAAACTGGGCAGTAGGCAGTAAATATTAGGCAGCAAAGTCTCTCTTGGACTGAAATGAACCAGTTAGCGTTTAGCGTCGTCTGACACAAACACACACAATTCACTCTTATTTCAGTGCAGCTTCTCTCAACTGTCCAATACTAAAGACCTGAGAAATGAAGCCCGGACTAGCAGCTTCAGTGTTTGAGCCACCAGATCCAGAATCTAATTAGGAGTCAGAGAACACTGACCTACCTGAGAGTCAGCCTCGTTCACCTCAGTCTGATACAGACCTGTCATTTTTTCTTCCTATTTATGCAAATTAGCAACCATTACAGTGTTAGCAGAGGGACCCGCTAAGTACAGCTTTAGTTTTATATCGTTTGTAGTTAGTAGTTAGAAACCACTAGTAACGCCCCCTTCTGGAATAAAATTGGGGGAGCAGTTCTCCAGTTGCTCCATTGTTCCGGTTTGTATGTGAAACCCAGACTCCCTCACAGCTCCACTCTGCTGTGCTGAATGAGACAGAACCTCAAACGTGATCTGCAGTGGTTTATTCTGTACAACAGTTTCCACAGAGAAATGGACAGACAGCACTAGACCAGCAGTGACCACACCGCAGATCTACCTCACACATCACTGTGGAGAAGAAAAAAGGAGGGACTGATGCTGCTTTGTTATTTTAGACTCCAATCACCCAGCCTACACAACCACTCTTTCAAAATAAAAGTCTCTTTCAGCTCATTGATGAAGTGGTGAATTAAGGACAGCAAAGTCTAAACATGTATTATGGGGTATTCATTTATATTCACGTTAGTAAAAATCAGTCAAACATTCCAGTCAGTGTCAGTTCTGCTACATATGGTCCTGTTGGTCAAACTGCTGTTTCTGATGGTCATTACTGTCCACTCTTATCCACAGAGGGACTGTGTGGCTGCAGGTTTTTCATTTTCACCAAGCAGGAGCTCAGCTGATGTCCTCCTTTGTTCTGCTTGGTTTAGTCTTCAAACATCTGATCAAGGGGGGTTTTTACAAAGCAGGATTTCTCAGTTAGCCAGATAACTTACACTCACAGTAAGCACTGTCCAATCAAAGGAGAGATAAGGGACATTCCTATTGGACAGTTCTCACATTGGGCTTGAGTTAAGGGGTGATCCTGCTTAGTTGGACTGAACACCTACAGCTACACTGGCCTTTATAGATAAGACTTAACATCCTGACTGTAAGACTAAGATAACCTCAACTGTAATCTGGTCACTTAAAGCCTTGATGTCTGTCTGCAAGCTTTTATTAGCTATCATTTAAAAGTACATTTGGTGTGATCAGTCAGTGTTATGAAAATAATGTTTTTTTGATATTGTGGTTTTGAAAACAGCATCAAATATCAGAACTTTTTAAACTGTTTTATCAAAGTTTAAAAATCCAGTTGTGACAGAACTCAGAGAATTCATGCACCATAAGTGACAGATTATGTTTATTTCAGCAGTGCTTTGGATTATTCCAAAGCACTATTTTGTTTTGTTATTATTTTGTTCAAAAAAGGTGGGACACAAGCAGGTTTATCACTTTACTACATCATCTTTACTTTTACCTGTATAAATAATTGTATGTGGACTGAAGACACAAATTGATCCAGTTCTGAAAGTGGATTTTTTGCCATTCCTCCTTTATTCCAGTCTTCAGCTGTGCGGTCAGTGGAGCCTTCATTGTTGTATTTTGCTCTTCATAATGAGCCACACATTTTCAGTAAGAGGCAGGCCTGTCTAGAACCTGCACTCTCTGATTATATAGTCATGCTGATTTAATACAATTTGCTGCATCTTTGGCAGTGTGGTGAACCTTCACCCTTCCTTGCTCATACAGGACTAGACCTGTCCTGAATGCTCCTTTTATACTGAGCATGATTAAATCTCCTCTTTTAACATGTTTTCAGAACATTTAACACTGTTCATAGTGTGAATTCACCCCTGTCATAACTTTTTTGGAATGTGTTGCATCAACTTCAGAATGAGTTTATATTTACAAAAGACTGTGAAGTTGATAAGAGAAAACATTAAGGGTGTGTCCCAAAACCCAGTGAGCTCTCTTAGTAGCCGTTGTCTACATAGGCAGCTGTCTAAGTAGGCAGTGTTCCAACCATCACTGAACCTTATAAGATAGATAAATGAGACACTCCAGTTAGACAGTGACGATGTCACTGCTTGTTCCCGCCCACTGCACACGACCAACGTTTACTGACCTCAGCCATCAGAATCACCTCAGTGTTTAACCACCATGGATCCTGATCTGGTGGTTTATATAGTGATTTAAATTGAATTTGCTCTGAATGAAGCAGCAGAATAGATGAGAGTTGTGGTCAGACACTGAACTTTAATAATTCGCGCACTACGTGAGGCTATTGACCAGCTAAAATTTACAAAGGTAAACTTTCCTTTAAGCACTTTGGGGAGAAAAAACAACAGTAAACTCTTTCTCCACATCATCCAAGGTTCACCTAGCTGACAGTTAGATGAATAATGGGTTTTAAAACAGATACTGTTTTATTTGTTGTATATAAATATTGTGTATATAAAAATCTATATACACAACACACAACTGCAGATAACTTACATTAACCAAAGAGAACAATTATGCACACAAATGTGCAGTTTAATAAATAAATATATAGTTAGTCATTCACTAGCAATAAAACTATATATGCAGTTATATACAGTAATATTATCACAGTAATTGATTAAGCAATTAATTAATTTACGGTGCATTTATATAAAAATTCATAGTCATACACTTTGACCAGTCACACAAGTCCACCTCCTTGTTTCTGCCTTCATTGTCCACTTTATCAGCTCCACTGACCATCTAGTTTCACTGTGTAGTTCTGCAGTTACAAACTGTCGTCCATCTGTTTCTCTAATTTTTAGCCCTCTTTCTCCTGAAATGAGGAGAATTCTCCCAGCATCCAAAAAGTGTAGAATTACGAATCATGTAAAAGGTTCTGTGAGGCTGGAGAATCGTGCAGCTCTCTGATGTGTAGTTTGTGCTGTAGATGCTGCTGTGTTTGAATTAAAGCTCCTAGAGATCCTGAGCAGCTGCAGGCTGTATGTGATCATCAGGCAGAGTTCTGGATGCTTTTATAGGCTTTTCCTGCTACAGTGCAGTAGCCTTCACACAGAAATCCCTACCAGCAGGCAGAGTGACCCTTGGTGATGGTTGTCTGTCCCACTTCTGGACAATGGAGACTTCAGCTCCTAAACTAAATGCTAAACTGTAATCTAACCTTTGAGTGAACTTGTAGAAATTGGAGTATTTACAATATTCTCGATATCTGGATGGGCTTTGTAAGGCAGCTGGTTTGTAGAGTTTAACTGTGCATTTTGAATTTTGTGCCTGATTTTTTTCAATTTTATTATTGAAGAAATATATGAAATCATTGCTGCTATAGGCTGATGGCATCTGGGGTTCAGTAACTGTTTGGTTCTTAGTTATTTTAAAAATTATGCCAAATAATAATCTAGGATTATTCTTATTGTTTTCAATGAGAGAAGAGAGACAGGCTGAGTGTGCTGCAGTAAGTGCTCATCATTAGTCTATAAGGAAGTCATAGTCCACTTAGCATGATAGCTGGTGATGAACGAACACTACCACTAAAGTGAATTTCATATGAAATTAGGTAATGATCTGAGCCTGCTGTGATTAGGTAATGATCTGACACTGCTGTGATTAGGTAGTGATCTGAG